CCTAACTGAACACAGGAAAAGCAGAAGACAAAGGACGGCTGTGTTGAACAAAATGTTACTTAGTATATTATTCAATATCCTAAACTAAATGCAGCTCTGAAACAATTCTACAGAATTCTACAGGTGCAGAAATCCTACCAAAACTCCTAAATACACCCTAACAAACACCTAAAATGACTGGGCTGACGACCAGTTCTTTAACATCCAGAAATATGGAGCATTTTGGTAGTCTGACAATACGCCAAGGTAATTTTCAACACAAATTATGCCAAACCAAGAACTGGATAGTAACCGACATGGGAAATATGTGAAATTCAAATTAATTTTAAGTAGAAATAAAAGTCTCATTTATTTCCATGCAGTTCAAGGTCTCTGACTAAAGCACGGTTTATTTTGGTTTTTGTGCTCCACTTAGTCTAGCATTTTTAGGAGCAAAAATATAAGAAGATTGTGGCTGATAGATCTAAATGTATAACTAGATCTAACTGGAAATGTGAGAGACACTATTCTGACAGTAAGGCCTGGCACTGCAACCAGGCCTCAGAGACAGCAGTGCTGGCTCCTTCCAAGTTACCATGGGTTCGTTAAGCAGTTGGCCAGCGAGATGCTGGATTCTCATGTCTGGCCAAAGCAATCCAAAACAAGTGTTTGTAGGGTGTGGGACAAATAGGTGTGCTGAATCTTATGAAAGTTCCCCTAACTGACTGTGATGAGAAAAGGGAAGAAACAAGCTTGAAGATATTAAGATATTCCTAAATACATGTATCTGACTTTTTGCAATAGTAACAGGCTATTGATGTACTCTCACAATTTAACATCAGAAAGGACAACAGAGAGACATATCCTAGGTAAAAGTAAAGAATGTAATAAATAATAATTAAAAGTAATATATACACTGACAACTTAAAATATTTTAAATAATATTGGGCTCATTTCTGAACCCATTTTCTAGACATAAAGGGAATTTCCAGTTAAAAAAACCAAAACAACACAATGGGACTTTCATCCAAACTAGCATCTTTCTCAGGAAAATTTATTTTTATGACTCATGTGCATAACCTCAAGCTTTAAAATGTTTGTTTCTTTTCTGTTTTCCAAACTAAAAAAAGCAAACCCTATACAGGGAATTTTCTTCCTCTCAGCTGCAGCAATATTTTGCCTTAAGATTTTAGAAGCTGCACAGTAAGAAAACGTGAAGTGCAGCTGTAATTGTGTACTTTGTGCTGTTTTTTGAGTTTGAGAGAGTTATGTAAATTACAGAGTAGATTAATAAGAGGAACTGAAGAAAAGTAAAAAAATTGCTCAATTTCCCCTATGAATCTGAAAGAAACAGGGAGAGAAAGAAAAGGGCCAAACCCTGAAATTCTGATATTCTATATCAATAATTATAAGAGCAAAAACTTTGATAAAAAATAATTTTTATTTTGAATGCTGCAGTATTGAATCAACTTTAAAATATTCATTAAACTATCTTCTATATTTTGTGACTCTAGCCTTCAAATGCAAGATAAGAACAGTTATCATTCCTTGCTGAAACATAGCCTTTGGCAAGGCTTCAGAGGATTGGTGCTGCTACAATAATGGAAACAATGCAGCACAATTTGTCCTGAGGACACCACAGAATATTTCTTCTTTGAAGAATGAAGCTGTACATTGAAATTTGGGCAAGAAAAGTCTTGGGTTTTTTAAACACAATCTGTATATTTCTTCATTGGCACAGGAGATTGTGGTCTCTGAGAACAGCTGATATCAAACAATCAGTCCAGGATGACACTTAACAGTGTCCCTGAGAAATTATTCAGTTTAGCCTTTAAAAGGATCTATGTCTTGGGAAAACAAGTTTAAAATATATTTGCTAAGAGATGTGAAAATATTTAGGCAGAATTATCTGATCTATGTTAGATATGAGGTCAAAATTTTCTTCAGTTTCTTCCCTTCCTTCAGTCATTCCTTGCAGTCATCCTGCAACTTCTCTGATAATATCTACAGTTTTCAAATACCACTTTAGATAAAAACCATACTTATATATGTTCATTTATTTTAGTTGACAGTGGTCTCTGCTGACCTACATTTTTTTTAAAAACAAAAAATGTGACAGTTACGGTGATATAAAACACAATCTCATTTTCTTGGGATACATATGCCCAAAGAAACAAGTGTGCCATATATTGATTTCCCAGGTACTACTCAAGCATCCCCTTTCTGATTTTGTAATGTTTACATGATGCAGCAACAATTTTTGAGGACCTTAATGAATTTAATCTCAAAACACTGTGTATGATGAGAACTTGAGAAGTCCCCAGTCTCATAGGAAGAAATTCACCCATAGAAATACTAAAGTATTTGGTAATTTCTGTTAAATAACTAAGTTGGTTAGATTTTCTGCAGTTTATTCAGGATTACACAGAATGTGTCTGTATTGAGACTGCGGTCTCAACTCCTGCAGTGAAGTGAAAGCTTAAAGCTTTCACTGCTGAACCACCTGTCCCCTTCTGAGAGTCTCAAACTATTAAGTGCACACATACACAGGCACTGACATGATGTACCATGACCAGCACTAGGTACAAACTGTGGCTGCAGGTCATCAGTTTCTAAATGATAGTGCTACTATCCTTAGCTGGTTGCTAAAAGTGATAATTCAAGAATTGCATTTTATTGTTTTATTGAAAAGAATACAACTACATTGGGGGAACATTTTTCAATACTCCTATACTATACACTTGTTCTGGCAGAGTGCCTATGAAAATTGAAGGCTTACAAATCTCACTTGCAAATCAAAAGAAGGAAAGGCTTGCTCTCCATTGTGATTTTTTTTCCCTCTAGAGAAAGAGGTCCATTTACATTGAGTATTTTAATGTGAGAAATAATACAGAAAACTGAAATGCCAAGATGATGTGTTGTAAATTCATCACTCCTTAAGCCAGCTGCTTCTTGTCAGAAAAGAAAAGTTCCTTTTAAGTGTCTTTTGAGACTGATATAAAACAAGTTATATGACAACACTGTTTGTACTGTATGTCATCAGGTATTTCTTAAAGCATAAATTACGAATGATATTTTTTTAAAAAAAGAATTATTTCATACAAGCAATCCAGCAAATAGTAATTCTGCTTCTGATGTTTCAGGAAATGAGAAATTACTCCCCCAGTGGCACTTCCAGTAAAAGCAGAAAGATAATTTCCAACACTTCAACATGCAAATTTCCAACACTTAAATTCAACAAGTGCTTTGATTTGGCAGTAGCTTATTCATTTAAATCCCTTTTGAAATTAAATATTTAAAATGTTTTAAAATGTTGTTCCCCAAAATTCTTTCAAATATGTTTCTAATTCCTACTTAATTTTTACTTTTTTTTAAAAATAAGCTTTAAATTAATAAAACTGATTGGTCTCTTCATAGGACAGCATACAAATTCTACAGTGGCTTTATCAACAGTTTAGTCACAAAATTTCATTAAATGGTGTAGTTAATTAGTTCTAGTAGTTATAAGTCCTTTTTCACTTTATTAGGTATTGAGTCTCTAGGAAGTTATTTCATAATCTCCTATCTTATATACAATATGTATTATTTTGGTTTGTATATTTTTTAGTGTTAGAATAAATTATATTCCAATTAAACATTGAGTTCAAGAAGTGTTTGGACAATGCTCTTAGGCCCGTGTTGTTTTTCTTGGGGCTGTCTTGTGCAGGGCCAAGAGTTGAACTTAATGATCCTTGTGAATCCTTTCCAACTCAGAATATTCCATTATTCTGTGGATTCTGTAATTTCTGACCATTTGTCTGTTGTGAGTTTTCATGACATTTTGTAGCTGTTCTCATTTGTTCTCTCCCTTTGCTTCCTTATTGGTAAGCTGTCACTGACACATTCAGAATATTTTCACAAAGTTAAATTTAAAAATATTTTTCTTGATATATTTGTATAATTTTTCCGAAATACAGATAAAAACGCTGCAATTCTGTGTCTGTATTTCATTGCCAGTTCTTATGGCAAATACAGATGAAAGTAAAGAGTCTTCATTCTGTCTCTGCAGGCTTGACTTTCTCCTGGTCATCTGCTGTAGTCCATCTTCCTTTCTGTTTCACAAAACAGACTCACACTCTTTTTTTCACAAAATTTGTGAAAAGTCCTGGCTACAAGTCTGAGACTACCTATGTGTTTCCTACCTGTAGAAGACACTTTAGTCATCAAGGACAACCAGGCCCATTGTTCCATATGAGTGTATTGAAATACAGGGTGAACACGTCCCTCTTCTTTCACATGGACTCTGCATCATTGTGTATCTTTTATGTGATCATTCATATGAAATAAGGAAAATATCTAACCAACTAGCAGTTGGCCAGAATTATGTTTGAAATAGCAGTAAGAACTACCATTATTGATGACAAGAAAAAGACAAGCTTTCCCAGTAATGGATATTGTTGTGTTTGGGATAAAGAGATTCCAAACAGCAGCTAAATGGGGTGCTTGATCACTGTATCTCCACACCCTCAGCAGGATGCAGGACAGAATTGGAAAAAGAGAAGCGAGAAAACAACAAATGGCTCAAGATTAAGACTGCTTAATAATAAAGAAAAAGTTTTTAAAAACCCCAATGATCTGCAAAGACTTAGCACCTCCCACCAGCAGGTAAGTGCCCAGCCAGTTCCCAAACAACAACTACCTTGAGAAGACCACCCTCCAGCTTTATTGCTGAGCCTAATGTGATCAGGCATAAAATCACCCTTCGGTCAGTCGGGGTCAGCTCTCCCAGCTGTGTTCCTGTCCCAAACTCCTGCCCACCCCCTGCCTACCCCTGGTAGGGCAGCGTGAGAAACAGAGGTAGCCTTGACAAGCGCTGCCTAGCAAGAGTGTTATTAACACAGTTCTGGTTACATACCTACAACATGGCAACATACAAGCTGCTATGAAGAAAAGTATCTGCAGCCCAGCCACACCCAGCACAGAGTTAAACTCAGATTTTTGCCTTTATATTTACATTAATCTCTTACATTTATAGCACCTACCCGTCACTGTGGTGTCTGACTGTTTAAAGTCCATGAAGAAGTTAGGGAAGCTGGTGACTTCACCAAAAGTTTTGTCTTTCCTTTCCTGCCAGGGTGAGACTCTACTAACCACTGTAAAATTGAGAAATCCACTGGTCAGGCTTTATGAAAAGTCAGTCAGTCAGTCACAAAGTTTGTGAAAACAAACTGTGATTTCTTCTGTCTCCAGAGGTACCAGTCAATATAAACTGTTCTTGACCTGTCATCACAGTTGCTTTCCAGGGAAGATGATTATAAATCCCCATGAATTTTCTATAGGAGTTACGATGTTAAAAATGGAGGGAGATGCCTTCACATGTGTCTTACCTGTGGCTGAAAATGACGCACTGGCTCTTCTGTTATGATGGTATTCATTTGTTATAGTGTGAGGCCAGGACATGTTTCTGTCATGATCTCAACAGAATAATATGGCTTATAAAAATAGAACTAAATTCATGCTTGTAATGTAACATTGTGAGAAATTTGGGGAGAAAGCAATTATATTTGAGATTAAAAGCAATCACAGGAGAGAGAAGATAGAAGCTGTTATTTCTTTACCTATTACTACCTGACTTTGAGGGCCCAAAATGATTATATTTGCCTGTTTTCTGTTACTCCTGCATATACTGATAGCAATTATGCTGCATTTCAAGTAGAAAATGTTATTTGATTTCAGAATTCAGTTTAGGGTTCCTTCCAAAACAGCCCTGGCTGGCAAAAGAGAACACTGGAATGAATTATTATTCAGATGCTAATACAATTCTCCACATGGCACCTCTTCCTCCATCACCAGCCCAGGGCTGAGAAGAGAGGAGGTCGCTCCTCGGGCCCTGGTGTGCCTCTGTGCTGATGTTCTGCGCACAGGGCTCTGACAGAGGTTTGCCTCCGCTGTGGAGAGGCATGGGAGAGGTTGTATCCATTTTACCCATTTCTCCTGAAAACTGTCGGCTTCCTTTTTTTGTTGTTGTTGTTTTGTTTGGGGTTTTTGTTTTGTTGGGTTGTTTTTGTTTGTTTTTTTCCCCATTAACGCTTTGAAAATAGTGAAACAGGATAGAGAAAATCACAAAAGGAAGGTGTGAACATGGCAAGTTGCAATTTTCAGACAGACTGTACGCTTTTGTTAATTTTCTGAAATTATGTCTTTGGGTGAGGACGTAGCCTTTTCCTTTAGTCTGCAGAGGTAACTGATTCCTTTTCCCGTCATTATTACCCAGGGCCCATCAACATCAACCACTTGAAGTTTCCCTCAAAGCAGCGTCACCAGCACTTCGGGAGTCGGGATGCACTGTGAAGAAATGGATTATACGCATGTGTCACGGCGAAACGCTTCCCCGAAGACTTCTGGGAATTCACATGAAACGCTCGAAGCCGTTGCCCAGGGACAACTGGGAGAGGGGAGGGAAGGAGGCGCGGGGGCGGCGGGCGCGGCCTCCCT